TTATTGTTGCTGTGCTGAAGTGCTTGTGTAACCATGGGCGGCCAGTTTGTTTTGATATCTGCTCGGTTTTGTCTCCTTCATCGCTCTCCGGGAGGTGTTTAGAAGTTCTACCTTTCCCAAGATCGCCACCAGGTTCTCTCCAAGAAACACAAGTAACACCTTTCCTCTGTCAGTCAATCCAAGAGCTAATCCATGGGCAGCATCCTGCTGATGTCAAAATCGTAAGCATGCTCTACTCGCTTCTACCCTGAATCATCTGAGAGGAGGCACAAACTTCCCGGTTCTGTGTGGTTCTGCACGGTTGGAACCCGGAGACACATTTGGCAGAAATCAAAACGATCAGAACCGCAACAGGCGTGCTGGTGGAGAAGGGCTGTGACTGGGAGTGTCACATAGCTCAAATTGCTTCCTGCCACGTAAAAGCAAAGAATTGTGGGAAGTGTCTCTTAAATGAAAACTGTGGCCCAGAAGGACAGTGAGTATATAGCCTTTGGGTGCAAACTGTTATCGGACTGTTAAAGATTATAACAATCAGTACTTGATGAAATAGTTTATTTAGCGCTACTCAAATAATAAATTTAGAAAGTGCAAATCCACACACAAATAAAATGTTTTAGTAAAAGCCTTAAAGCTCAAAGAGAAATTTAGGTCTGCAATTAGTGCTGTAGCCTTTAGGGGACTAGTGCCCACCACTGGCAGCAAGATATTAAGAATAACATGATGTGTGTTTATGCTCAGAATTTAACTTTACAGTATTTCTGCAAACTAAGGCTGTTCAAAAAGCTACCACAGGTAAGGTAGTGATTGTTCATTACCTTTCCCCAGCTATCCCGTTTACAAATATCGGAACTGTCCCTTTAATGTGCGCATCAAAAATGTCATCTGCGCACACTTTAATAATTTAGCCCTGCTTGTTRATATTAAATGTGAATTTTTCAAATGCTTTACTGAATGTGCAGAAATGGAATAAGATGTTCCCTGCATCGACCTCACGCTTCATTAAAGCGTCCTTTCATCACGAGGAGTACAAACTCGTTTGCCACACAAGTGTTTTCCGATCATCTGGAGCCGCGTGAGGCTGTGACAAAAGACCTGAGGTGGTGGGAACTCTAAACCCACTGGGAGCAACGTCACCCCTGCTGGCATATTAACCAGAGTCCACGCAGTTGGCGGCAAACACACGGCGAACAGAGCGTCAGGAGCGCACACACGCACACAGGGAGAGACACACACACGACCCTCAGCGCGAAATGCTCCAAGTACTGAATCCAACTCAGAGCATCCTCCTCCCCGACTCCGCGCGTCTCGGAGAGGGAGCGTTCACGCGCCGCTCGGGCATCCAAGCGGGATAAACAAGTCCTTGGATGAAGTGCAGCGCGCGKAGAGTCGCTTGAAAACACAACGTGGAAAGAGTGTTTTGCGTCGAGAATGCATTTACAGGAAGCACCACAAAGAGCAGCCAACACTTGCAACTTCGGGCTTTACTTGTAAAAAGGCGCTTTTTTTCTATMTTTTGGAAAGAATTGGAGAATTCCCAGTAAAAAAAAAAGAAAGAAAGAAAAAGAAAGGGAAGAAGAAACATGCCTGTAAGAAGAGGTCACGTTGCGCCACAGAACACGTTCCTGGGATTAATTATTCGGAAATTCGAGGGTCAGAGTAAGTACCTTCTTGCACAAATTCTGCTGCCTGGAAATGTGAACATGCTCTGATAATTTAATGTTAAGATAAAAATGGAAAGCACGTGTTTAAATTGTTTTTTTTAGAAACACTTTAGGGGATGTGTGTTGTTATTTTTAGCAGAAATTAGCAGTTATTTTTAGACAGCTTAATTGTGTTTATATTATTATTATTATTATTATTATTATTATTATTATTATTATTATTATAGTTTAATTGATAATGATTTCTATTTATTTATGTTAGTCAGCTGTCATTGAAAAACATTTATCTTCAACATCCATCATTCTGCTTCTATTATTTTATTCAGACCGGAAATTTGTGATAGCCAATGCCAGAGTGGAGAACTGTGCTATTATATACTGCAATGATGCCTTCTGTGAGATGACAGGCTTCTCCAGACCGGACATCATGCAGAGGCCCTGCACCTGCGACTTCCTCCATGGGGAACTCAGTGACAAAGAGGCGATCAACCAGCTGGCTCAGGCTGTGCTGGGTTCTGAGGAGCGCAAGGTAGAAATCACCTACTACCGGAAGGATGGTGAGTAACTGAGCTGGCACAACAACGTGCCGAACATCAGGAGGTGTCTGTTTTATGTGCGTGGTGCTGCTGCAGCTCCACTCTGTTTCACGCTGTGTGGTCAGTGTGAGAGGAAGCAACATACTTTTCTCCTCACACATCTGGGGGGGTGAGAACTAAGAAGAGACGTGCACCTTTGAAGTAAACCGATGAAATGTCATCACAATGTTATGACCAAATTTATCTGCTCATTTCATCAGCTTTTGGTTTATAATGACACTTTTATGGCACTATTATCCAAACCGAGTTTGAGTATGTAGAACAGTGACAGTCTATCATTTGTGTGAATGTACACTCAGATCATATTAACGTTTGATTTATTGCAGTCCAAGCAGCTCTTTTTGATATTTTGCACATTTGATATTGCAGTGATGATACATTTCTGCTGATCTCTGCAGCCCAATTCATCACGGTTCTAGCACTTCCATTTAATTTTATTACGAACAACTTTGAAGTTTCAAATATATTCAAGTTGATGTGCTCCAAAAAAGCAATTTTGAAAGCAAAAGTGCTTTCAAAGTTTTATGATACAAAAAAAGTATCTATATTTTAATAAAATATTGTCTCTTCTTCATTCTCAATATTTAAAATGGTAGAAGATGTGGCAGAATCCATATATGCTGACAACTGTTCTGGTTTGAGAAACAGTGTGAAATGGTAAAGAAAGCAACAGACTTACAAAACAGATGGATGAAGCAACCGTGACATCACCCACTGATTCATGCACTCCCCTTTTAAAACCTTTTGGCCAGCCATTTGGTGGAGGCCATTTTGGTTCGTAAAAATCAGAAGCTACACGTGATTATTGAATCTCAGCTGCATCTTTATTAGTCTAATTGAGATCTTAGTTTACACAGTGAAAACTGGGCTGTGCAGATATGAATTCAGCAACAAACAGACATTTTTTATATCATTATAGAGTTAAAACACTGAAGAGGAAGAAGTGGTCTTTCTCGCCATAGACCTATACACAAACAGACATCATAACTCATCATAGAAGTCACCCACAGCTGGTCATTAGAAAGAATGCATGTTGGCTTCCACATTGGCTTAATTTTTTCAGATGAAAGGCTATGTCCATCTGTTCTATACGATCCATAAAGGAAACACAGCTCAGCAGTTGGACAGGATTAACTTCACAGCTTTTGCTTTTGCTTGAGAATGATTTGGCTGCACCCATTGTTATGGTGTAAGGAAAATCAGATCTGGTATTACTGTAGGCGATACAGAGCTCGGGTGATGACAGTGCCCCCACTGAAATTGATTTTGAGGAATATTTGTACACCTACAGAAAACATTTAGAAAAGAAACACCTCTCTGCACACTTTTCGTCACTGGCGTGTGACAGCACATTCGCATCAAGTGTAAAATCTCTAATCTGTAAACAGTCTGATTTTTGTACACTAGATACAACCTGTATAACCTTGCATTTCTAAGACTGCAATGTTCTGCTGATTCAAAGAAGAAGTCATATAAAAAGTAATGGCCCACCAACTAATTCCTCTATTTATGATAGATTTGCCCCACATTGTAAAAATTGACAGTTTTTAATTGCTAAGCTGCCATTTGCCATTCCTAGTTGGTAAATTCCAGCCCTGTTGTGAATGATGTTCTGCAGAAACAATGAACCTAAATCAGAGAGAATTAATAGAATGTTACCACTCAGTGGTATAAATCCCCAGATTGCCCACCTCCCACCAGGCTCTCTCAGGGGCTTTTTATGGCCAGCTTGACATAGCTGCACACAGACAGTCAGAGGTCACTCCTCATGTAGAACAGCTATTACATACATTTATCTTTTTTTGGTTGCGTTTTCAGGCTAGCATTCAGCTTTGAACTAATATTGCCTTTGTGATAATTTGCAGGGCATGCTAAAAACATCAATATTACATTTAGAAATAGAGGAAAATAGGTAATATTTAATCATAACGACACAGGGTTTAAATTTTTAATTGTGAGTTTGACTAGATTCTGGGCCATGAATACATGTTTAATCTACCATCAGCAACCAACAGCCTCTACTTGATTTTTTTATTTTATTTTTTCCACTTATGATCAAACCAGGAAGCAGTTATTACATCACTTTAAAATCAAGAGTCACGGACATCTGTAAGATCATTTTAAAACACATTCTTCAGTCTGTTATGGGAGAGCACTCAAAGGATTGCACGTAATATGGGGAACTTTACTTTCTGTCATGTGCCTGAAATCTTTAAAGAGCAGAGGATGAGAGCTCCCAAACCGCTGAGCATTATCGTTGCTTCCAGTCTCATGGCAATCCTCCCTGTTGTGTGTCGCAAGCTTCAAGACACAACTCATAATACTCCTCAGAGGAACTTACAGTGAGCGTGTGTGCTCATGAATAAAGATGTCAGGGCTGACAGTGTGATGACTGGGAATGAGCAACTTACTGAGTAAATGCAATAAACTGGTATGGAGGATCCGATTCATGTGCTCCCAGTGCTGTGGTGAAATAAAAGATTGATGCCATCCTTGAGCACAATGGACCCATTGATTTAACACAGTCTTCAAACTGAAGATGATGTGTTAAAAATGCTTGTATTTCAAGTCTTTACTCCTGCCTGTATTTCATATAATCAGCTCCAATGCAAATCAGCTAATCCTTTGCGTTAAAGCCTTTCGTGGTTCGTACTTTATGTCACAAATCATAAAATAAACCAGCCGTAGCTCAGACAGGTTTCCAGTATTAGATTTTGTTCTCTATTTGACACATGGGAGATTCACTTCACATAGATAGTGGGTGATCAGAAAATGCACTTTAAAAACCTAGTCTTTCTAAGATGTGACACAGTTTAGGTTGTTTTCATCTCCCATCAATAACTATAATGGGAAAACTTAAAAAGTAAGGTTTAGATTTGATGAAGTAATATTAGGAGCAACAAAGCATTAGCTTTTTTAATGAAAAAAGCAAAAAGTTAAGCTGCTTATATGTATGGTGCCTGGGAATGAAAAGTAACAAAACAATGGCTACTGCAGATGCACAGCAACAAAGCACAAGGGCCTGTTCTTTAAATTCAAGTGTCCCCCTCTCGGTGAACAAGCAAGGCAGGCTGTGATAGATAACACATCCACTCTTCCTCCAGTGAGGATACATAATCAATGAGATAAATGCTTTCCCTTGATGGCTTTTTAAAGCTATCCTATTCCAGAGGGTGTAATAATACTTTGTACCTGAATGAGTCTTAACAAAAGGAAGCTGACACCGTGGAGCACAGAGAAGTTAAAAGGATAATGGCTACATAACAGCAGCAGCTTAGCTAACCATGCTGAATGATGTGGGACATGTGGTGTGCGTGGGTGCCGGGTTTCATATGTGACTCCCTCACCGAAGGGGGCTGGAGGGCCACGTGCCCCTGCTAAGGCTTCGGTGGCAGGGGCGTGAGGGGACACGGAGTGCCTGCAGTGCACAAGGTGCATCGCAGGACACTTGGGTGGCTACATTCTGAAAGACAACATTCATTTTTTTTCAGCCTTTGTTCATGTGTTGCTCATGAATTTTTATAGTACGTCAGGCCTTGGTGCTAACGTATCAAATTGTTTATGTAGTTTAGCATTAAAAAGTTTCAGTAACATGCTGAACTTAAGTTCACTTCTAAGAGGCGGTATCAGCTTCAGTACTGGAAACCTGGTATCATGAGTCTGCATGTGATTCTGATAAACTTGTATAAAAAATTCATGATTTCAATATTTAGCACTGATACAATAACAAGTTTAAAACGCATTTCAATTGGTTTATGGTTCGCTCTTTGGTTTTTCCATTTCAAAACAAAATTGCGAAAAGAAAGCAACCTTGTTTCTTGTCCTGATGCATCTCAGTAATCCAAGTAGAAAAAATCAAAAAGAAAAAAATAAGTAGGACCTCTGGATGGGTTCTTCTTTAATGAAACRTTTCATCTCTCGTCCAAGAGACGTCTTCAGTCTGATGAGCTTCAGGTGAACTCAGCCTTATTAGCACTGCCTCCAACTGGAAAAACAGGTTAGTCACATGCAAAAGAGGGCCATCGCCCAACAATAGGCTTGATTAGTTCTGTTGTTCATAGAGGGTCATGTGCCCCGTCATCTGACCCTTGTCGTGTTATATGTATGTAGTGAATGCAAGCGGGGGTTCAACGTCCCCTTGTTTTTGTCCCTCTTTCCCTCTTTGTGTTGGGTATAAACAAACCTTGTTTGTTGTTTTTCAGCTTTTTTTAATAAAATCAAACTAATTAAAAAATTCACAGTGGTTGATTTTTACTACAGCTAACCAAAATGGTCGTCATATAAGGTCGTCATCATGTGTAGCAGTACCAGAAATGACAGAAGCTGCCAAAGAAGAATAGTTTACAGTTGCTGGACGACCATTCCTAAATTTACAGGCAATGCACTCAAACACTATTTTCTATAACTTGCAATATTAAAGCAATTTTGTTCACAATAAGACCGTTAGCTCTCAGTGAGATTTGGGAACTCCCTCTAAACAAGACAAACATGGTTGGGTGTTTCTAAAGTGCTAAGTGAAAATGTAATACACCAGTTCAGACTGTGATTTTCAGTTCTGCCAGAACGTCCCAGTGCACTAAGTATTGAGCTTGGCTTTGCTTTAAAGGGGGAMTTACTGGCACATAGTTCAATTTTAATCCCCAATCAAGTAATTATGTTGTTTCAGTTGTTATGAAAATGCTGCAAATATCAAAAATAAATTAGACTTTGCATCATAGCTTATCTAATCACCTTGAAATTGGCTGTCTTTTTAAGGACTACCTACCATTTCTGACATTCCCACTTCAGCATGTCTTCTCAACCTTGCTTCAGGGGAGGAGTGTCCTGTAGGGAGGGAATCTGGCAGCAGATTGAGCACCTGGAAGGAGCTTCAATAGCTTTGTACCAGCAAGAGTTTAGGCAGCTCCACGTTTCTACCAAAGGAGATTCAAGTATTATCTAACAAGCAGAAATGAGTGAAA